TGGGAATCATTTTACCAGGAAGAAAGTATTCGTAGCATTGAAGTGGTTTCCCGTCTGTTCTATGTCACACTTAAAATGGCTTTTCTTCGGGAACTTGAGAGCACTTTCGTGCTTTAAACATTGTAATGGCTTCTAATTGTTTTGTATGTGTTCCTTCCAGTCGGCACCAACACGATACCCTAGATCAGTAATCATGCATTCTTTTATTTATTTATCCCATTTTTCCTTCTCTTTTTCATTTATCGGCTCGTCAAAGGAAAGGTGTTCTTTTTTATGTTGGTCGAAACCAAATACGAAGCTACTGCTGCGGTCAACYATGATGAATTGAGTTAAATCTATTAGTGATCTTTTCAAGAGCCATAAAAACTTCATACAATTCTAATTAAAGCACAAAGTAGTGATAATCCTCATTCTTGTTTATTTGCTGGTCCTCCTTCAAATATTATCCTTTAAGCAGATTTCATATGGTATTTGTGGACAGCGTGGTCTTTCAGTACCATTCTGAACCAGTCCGATCTTGCTATCGCAAGCGCTGTCCAATCACGAAGCATGAATTGGRATGCCATTGAAGTGTTGTCTCGCGGTGACTCATGAATAAGTTCCATTCTGAACCAATCCGATCTTGCTATCGCAAGCGCTGTCCAATCACGAAGCATGAATTGGAATGCCATTGAAGTGCTGTCTCGCGGTGACTCATGAATAAGTTCCATTCTGAAACAATYCGATCCTACTATCGCAAGCGCTGTGCAATCACAATGCGTGGAATTGGAAGCCATTGAGCAAAGCGGAGGAAAGTCGTATAGTGGAATGGATATCATTATCAATCTATTTTTAACTAGTTCTCAGATTATATCATATCGTCACCAAATCCCACCCATATATTCAATTTGGGTGGAATTTAGTAATGATATGATATAATCTGAGAAAATGAGTTGTCGCTATGATCTGGCTAGTCTTTCTTACATGTGAAACCGCATTTGTATTTCCACGAGAACACGAGGCTGGTCTGTCGTTAGTGCAGAACAATAGTTCTTCGATTCGCTGTATAAAACCCTAAGTGTGTTCAATTACTTACTTTACAGCCTTTAATTTATCAATGCCCTTAATTCTAAATACCTTTACCGTAAAAGTTAATTATTAACTATAGGTTGGTTTAAAACTGTTTCAAACCATTGGAACTAAGCCAGCAATAATGTTTGTACGAATTGGTTGAAAAACAACCGAGTTGGACGATGGTAACTAAGCAAGCCGTTCTACTGACATAGAGATCTCCGGACGTTTACCATATAAAAACGTTCATTAAAAATAGTTGTGTAAACCGAACTGCGTATAAAACAGAACTCTAAGTGTGTTAGCCAAAACGTCACACAGAGCTATCCTGATAATTATGATAAACGAGAAAAGTTGATGGAGTTTGGTGCCTTCGTGAATAATAGATCAAAACGTGCGTCTATGTCGGTAGATTCGTACGGATTTGTTTTAACCGAATCAATCAATAGAAACAATAATTTCTTATGTATAGGTTTTTTTAGCAGGAAGCAGACTGTAGATGCAAAGCTCCGTCGTGGGATAAGGTCAGGTTTGGTAAGTAAATGATTACCATTATTTAGTACAAAGTCATAACGCCAAAAACTTTCTATACCTATTTTTTWAAATGATATTAGGATTTTATGAGTCGTATTATAGCAATAATTCTATAGTTTACTAAAATAAAGAAAATATCCTATTACATTTCTAATCTATAATTATGATATTTGTTAAATAAATGTAAAAATATATCCTTGCAATATAACAGTCACTTTGATATCGCTTTAGTTTAAAGTTAAAAAGAGGTTGAAAGATTTGTCTTAATCATTGAAGGTTTCTCAATTTCAGCGGTCTTGATCCACGATAATTAGCACACTTAGGCTAATAATATTATACAAAAATAGAATTAGAAAAATCTGTTTTAGTACTTACGCGGAGAATTTTGTTATAATTCTCTTCGCAAGGTGTTTTTTTTTTACTTTTTCTTCTTAAAAGTCTTTGGTAAATTTTGATTGAAATTTAACCTAACTCATAGATTACAGCATCCATCTTGACTGGGGAAAAAAAACAAAAAACAAAACAGATAGAGCAAATTTTAAAAACTGTAGTACCGGGTAACTTCTCAGTTACCCCAAAGATCCACACTATTTAAACAATTTCGACTCTAATGATTATTTGCCTTCGTATTTAAGCTCGTCATTTGTCAGCTCTCAAGATACCAAAAAAATATTTTCTTGAAACATTTGAGCCGTTTATATTATTAAGATTGCTAGAAAAAAGATTGTAAGGCTAAAGAATCTCGCCCTATTCGTGAAAGTTCTTTCTCTGTTTGAGTCTCGTTTGAGGCTATTTTACGACGTAGACACTACTAAACTGGGGAAAAATAACTTTATATATTGCATTAATAAATTCACTAAAAACCTGTGAAATTGGCTTCGAGAATCAAATTTTACAATCCATTAAATGAGAATACTAGTAAGTTGGTCGTGAAAATTTAACTTCAAATATTTCGATCAATATTATATTTYATGGAAATGTTTGCAACATTTCGCGTGGCTTGCAGACTAAATCCTTCCGAAAACCAAAGAATATAAAAGAAAACAGCGAAATCCCCTTGAATTTTATTTAAGAATATAAATTGTAAACTCATGAATAGTTAATGTTCTGGTTTGTTTGACTTTAATAAGCATCTTTACYGCGCGCGCGTGCGTTTATTTTTATTTTTTTCAGCCGTCATTAGTGTCGGTCCCAGATCCTCATAGACCCGCGCTAATGACAGCTGTGGAGGACATTAGTTAATTTTATGCTAGGTCGTTATTTTATAACTTCTTARAAGAGTTTAGAAAGTGTTTCTGTCGTCTAGAATGACAGCCGTCTCGTCTGTTCGCACACTGAGACCTACGTTGAGTGGTTTGAAATGATTGAAAAGGACCGGGCTTTGTTTGGGATGAATCTTCTTTCCGAAGGCGGTTGGATGTGTAGGAAGCGTGGTGATATGATAAACAAATGTTGGAAAATATAACACTGGTGGAAAATGTGGAAATATAAAGGGCGTCCCGTAGACTATAGGTTCAAGAAGAGAAAGAGAAAGAGAGAAAGAAAGTGAAAAAAAGAAAGAAAGAAAGAAAGAAAGAAAGAAAGAAAAGAGAAATATGAAATAAAAGGAGAGAAAAAAAAAAAGAATTAAAAGAAAGAAAGGGAAAGCAAAAGAAAAGGATTGAACAAATTAATATTAAGGAAAGATGAATAAAAAATAAAAAGCAATGAAATGCACGATGACATTGAAAGAAACGACAGTGAATGAAAAAATGAATTAAAAAAACTAACTAGTCCTATTTTCTTCATTGAAAGACAGTTCAGAGATCTAGGAAGTACAAACGATAATGAATAAATTTAAACTTGCTTGAAATAAACTACATTTCTTAAATTTTTACAGTYTGGTATTTTCGAATTTTTTTAACGTTTTTCTCAAAATGTAAACTATGATTACAGAAAAAAAAGTTTTCTTTTAAAACTATTTTATTAGTTGTTCAGTATTATTATTATTATCATCATTATTATTATTATTATTATTATTACTTTATTAGTTTATTAGTTCAACTAATGAACTTATATCTCAAACTGAATAGCATAAAGGTACCGACTTTGGCTCACTTCTTTGTAGTTTCTTGTTTAATTGATAAAAATTAAAGCTAATAAATGTCAAACTACTGGACACCTGTCAACACATCGAAGTATACTTCTGTTAATGTTTTGAGCTACTAGAATATCGATAAATAATTGTGAGCACCGGGATACTCGTTTTAAATTCATTGAAGTCAGCTTGGTTTAGCGAGAGGGGTAAATAATTTGTCCATATATATCTAATACGAATCGAAAGCGAATAGACCAATGGGCCAATAATAAAGATGATTGATGTAGTATCATCATTTTTATTGTTAAATATTTTATTAGGTGCTAAAATAATTAAAATGTGGCAAGTYGATGATTGGCAAGTGTTACAGTAACTTAGAAATGGCTTCCAACTGGTGCGTTTCATTCATTCGATTGACACTAGAGGTGTCATGACTTCGAAATGGCTTTCCATACTTTTTTGTGTCTCATCCCATTGATTGTCAACCAAGGGTGTCATGACTTTGAAATGCTTTCCCATAGATTGGTTCACTGCCACAGCATTGAAATGGTTTTCCTACTTTGTTGTGTCTTATCCCATTAATTGTCAGCCAAGGGGGTCATGACTTTGAAATGGCTTCCCATATTTTGGTTTATTGCCATAGCATTGAAATGGTTTTCCATACTTTGGTGTGTCTAATCCCATTAATTGTCAACCAAGGGTGTCATGACTTTGAAATGTCTTCCCAAAGTTCTGGGTGCACTGCCATAGCGTTGAACTGATTTTCCAAGTTCCTTTTGTGCCTCATCCAATTAATTGTCAACCAAGATTGTCAAGACTTTGAAATAATTTCCCACGCTCAGGTGGGTTGCATGTAATAGATTGACAATCCAGAACTGCCAAAACTTTAAAATGGTTTCCTGCATGAAATGGAGTATCATCATCCAATCAATGTCAAGAACAGCTCATCAATAACGTTGAAATGGCTTCCCTTTGTTACGGCCCATCTCGAAAATTCCCACTGCGATTTTTGAAACTAATGCGAAAATAAAACCAATTAAATGGAATCAACCGAAAACCTCGGACCAGTTGACACTAAAACGATAAATKTTCATGATCTTATCTAGTAAAATCCGCAATATAATGTTATAATTGAGTAACATTTCTAGACACACGGCAGATTCGACCAACCAAGGCTGGAAAAAWTTTCACGGTTTTTTCTTCTTAATGAAATCACCAAGACTGCCGGTAATTCATTAGTGAAGATTAAATAATCGATTTATGAATCCTTGCCACGAATATTCGACGATTGTCCTTTAAATTGACATAAGGTATTGCTCGAAACTTTATTGATATCGCCGTRGCTTTGTACGCTTTCTTTAAACCAAAATCCCTAGAAACAATCTTGGATTATCTGCTTCAAAAGGTTTTAGTTCTTAGTTGATTATTAAGTAATAGTGCTGCCGGTCAGAAAATAATTTATAGTTTTTTCTATTTTTTTCTTCATCCCCCCCCCCCCCCCCCC